CTGCCAGCTTCAAGTCTGAAGCGTACAGCTTTTTCTCCATTCAGAGTGGCTTGTAACAGGTTACACAGCAGGAAAAGCCTCCCTGCTGTGTAACCTGTCATGGATGGAGCGCTGCCTGTTAATTACAGCCAGTGCTGCATCTGGCTTTTAACAGCTAAGTTGGGTCACACAGCAGCGGGCTTCCCTACTGCTTGTGTAACCTAACATAGTGAGGCAAGAGCTGCAACAGCCTCTACTCTGTGTTAGAGGCGTGAGCTCTGTGGATCTTTTAGACCAATGGCAAAGCACCATTGGTCCAAGCTGTCCAATCAAAAAAAAAAACACTGAGGCCATCGATCTCGATGCTTCAGCAGTGATGAGCAAGTGAGCCTCCCTGTCTCCTCCCTTCCTCCTCCCTCAAACTAGCTTGGTGACTGGGTTGGGGGGGGGGATGGGGTGGCGCTGGGAAATGCCTCAACCAAATCCCTAGGTACCGCACGTCACTGCAATACATATCATGTGACTCTTCTTCAGCTGACCGTCCTCTATCACTTCAGCAGTCAGGGCAGATACTCTTACAGTCAGCCTTATAGAAAATGCTGGTGTACAGGAGATGGCTGGAGCATGCTCTAAAGAAAAAGTACTGGTAATTAAACAATTAAACATAATCCAATTACATTGATCAGTGTAGGGGCCCCAGCATTTGATGTTGTGCCCACGTGCAGAGGTTATGGGTGTATCTACTCTAATACCTACCACTCAGACCATTCCCATCTGACACTTGTCCCACATACACAAACCCCCACCCTTAAATACCACTTTGACCCGTAAAACAAACATTGGCATAGAATATGATCGTATGCCAATGCCTAGAAGAAGCGATTGTGGCCATAAAATAAACTGGGGCAGGAGGTGGAGAGGCTAGAAAAGACAATCTGTATATGTGTACCAAGTGTATATCAAACTGACTCCCTAATCTGCTAGCAGTTAATTTCTAGGTGGCGGTGGTGGAAGGCCTCTTTGTATTCAGTATACAATGCAAAATACAATTCAATCAAGAAAATTGTAAGGACCGCATCAATGTAGACCCAGTTAGATGGCACTGGCAGGCAGGGCACCAATCTGGAACTTTTTATGATATGCAGATATGTTTTACAGGTAATATGTTGTGTGTTTGGATATGCAGCCCTTCCTTGGCCTATGTTGGCTATGCAGAACTGCATGCCCTGGCAATAATGGCATTAAACCCAGTAATGTCACCTCGAACAACAATGCATAATGTTTTCCACAGCCTTGGATGCCATTATGTTTTACTTTCAGAAGCAAGAATGTTACTGCCCAGGTAGTGTTAAGTCGTGTATACACGCTTCGAATTTAGATCGAGGTAAAAATGCCCCAGTATCAGTTTTGGGTAAGCAAGGCCGGTCAGTTGGGTTGAGATGGGGGGGGGTCACTGAAAGGGGTGAGTTCCCTGAAATCATTGGTCACTGGAAAGAAGAAATTCCCATGTCTATCAGAGAAAGAATACCCTGATGTAGATGGTCAGTGGGGGGAAAAATAAAACAAGATGCATTTTTGTCAGTGGACCATAGTGGGGGGTATTGGTGTTCAGTGTGGGGTGAGTGGGCAACAAGGGAGGTCAGTGGGGACAAATAATGCCCAGTGAAGGGTGGGGGCAACAATAGTACCCAGAGAGGGGTGGGGGAATATTGAAAATATGTTTAAATTTGCAGCTTTTATTAGTATAGTGTAATACCTGCTAATCCTGCCATTAGGTCCTTGTTCAGGCACTGCTTGTTCTGGGGTGACAACACTCTGTTTCTCATTTTATTCCCACATTCCACACATTGGGCAGACTATTGGTCCACTATTGTCACTATCAGGAATCCCAATCAGAGGAAAGCAGCTGCAAAGAGACTGCAGAAGATCAGAAGTGCTCACATACAAAACAGGGTGAAAAGTAATTTATTCTAAAAAATGGTAATTAGTTTTAGCAAACAAAATATTTTTTGGCTAGGGTTTACATATAATTGAATCTTTGTATTCATATAAAATGGCAGATTTTACATTTGCTTTCAGTTCTGCTTTGAAGCCGCAGATTTTGTTTTTTAAACTTTACATTTAAACATAAGATAAAATATATCCAGCTCACCTCCAGTAGCAACACACTTGAAGGCAGAGATCAGGACATTATCCGTAGCACAGTTTAATGAGAATGCATTTGGCTTTTGAACAGACATAATATAGTTTATGTCCACTGTTGAAATATTAATGCAATAACTATGCTGTTGGCCAATAAATCAAATCCACAGTAAGTTGCAATCAATAAAGACACATAAATAAATACAGATGATATGTCTGAATGTGAAATACAGTTCCAATCTAAAAACTGCTGAGTGAAAAAATAAAACAGTTGAGTAAATAATATGTTTAAATGCTTCGCGTTCAGAAATGAATGTGGTAGCTCTTTGCTAGTTTGTGCTTTTTAATTAAAAGAAAAACTGATGTAATGGAAAAACACCATATTATTTTATAGCAGTCCTGTCGCTACCCAGTTAAAGATGAACTCCAGTCACAAAAACTAAGGGTGTTATTCACAAAGCTAGCCAAAGGATCAGCCGTAGCTGATCCTTCAGCTAGCTTCAGTTGTGGGAGGCCTTCAGTTCAGTCGAACCGAAGGGCTGCTGTACGGGCTATTCACTATTCCGTACAGCTCCCGAAGGCGGCCGAGCCGAAGGCATATGCTTCAGCTCGGCTGAGCCAAAGTGAGAGCCGAATCGGGGCGAACCCCTCGCAAATGACAGCTGGGCAGAGCTTTTTTTTCTACTTTTTGCATTGATTTCCTATTCTGCTTGGTGCCACGGAGGCACCGAGCAGAATAGCCGAGCCAAATGCCGCTGGGCGGCATTCAGCTATTCTCTCACTGCTGTTCGACCCCTATGTGAATAGGTGCGAACGGCAGTGAGTGAGCTGCCGGAGCTTTGGCTCAGCTGATCCAGATGTTGGATCGATTGAGTCGAAGTCCTTCTGCACTTCGGCTCAGCCGAACATCCATTGCATGTTCAGCTTACCGAAGTGTAGCCGAAGCCAGCCAATGTACGGAGCCTGAAGTGAAAAGGAAAACCGCATTTAGCTCACTTGACTTCGGGTGGGTTATTCATTCGGCTGCCTTCGGCAGCTTTGTGAATAACCCTGTAAATATATTCTTCAATAGCCACAAAGAACATAAATCCACCTGGTGCACATTGAATGCATTTGCAAACCCAGTTATCAGTATATAAAAGTACCAGTGACATCATCACTATGCTACATATAGCCTGTAAAATGAGCAAAGCTGTTGGTTGGGCCTAGCTGGTCCACCGACTACAGGCTGCCTGCAGAAAACTACAGGAGAGGGCGGATACAAGACCAGTCACCCTGCACAAAAAGAGAGAGCAGCAATGACTGGTCTTTATTACAGGAAGCTCCTGCACAGGAAAAGGTTTCACATTGGATTACTGCTCAAATCTGGAAAAAATACATAAAGCACACCAAGAGTTAAGGAAGAATACCCATGCCTCTTGTAAACCATTCACTGCTTCTTTCCTGTGTTCTCTAAAGCTGTTCTATGTAATAGAATGTAGAAAATACTCACATTTACCGCCGTAGTTGCTGAAATGGTTGAAATCGTATACATTTACATGTCCGTCATTGTGTACAGTCCAAGGTAGGATTTATCATGTCTCTGTAAGCAAGTTTTCAGTGTTAAAATAAATTTGATGTTGGCAACCCTAATGTGCAAAGACCTCAAGTCAAATTCAATTCGTATGCAGGTTTAGCCACCTAGTTACTAACAGGGGCGTATCTACAAATCATGGGGCCCCATAGCAAAAGTAAGGGTCCCCCTGGCTAACTCTCTGTATCAGCTGGCAGTGTCAATGGTCTTAACATGAAGTAAGTATCAAGGACAGGCAGCAGAAGAGCTGTCAGCATAGGCAGTGCACTTCTAAGAAGCAGTTCTGGAGGTAAATGGTATAGTAGCACTAAGACTAATAACCAGAATGATGTTTTATATTATGATAAAATGATGAATGCTCTTGCACACTCTTATTCTTAAACTCTAAAGTAGGGTATACACTGTTATATTTTTTCATTTAACCTGCGGGTGGAACAAAAAAAAATATAACAGATTCCTCCATGTATGCTGAATGGTTGGATGAATTTCCCGATGTGAGCTTTGTATTCTGGTAGCGGCGACAGCGCCAGGTTCATTTCAGTCTGTAGGAGAATTTTAGGAGAAGGGCAATAAATCCAAGACATAAGCTAAGACATAAGCAAATACCATCCTGAGTTATGACTGCAGCTCTTCTATACTGAAAACCTCACAGTTTAGTTTTTCCTAATCAGCCCCTATAATGGGCCCCCCGCCTACCCCAGGACCCGTAGCAGCTCAGCTGCTGGGCTGCAATGGCTGTTGTTATACAATTGGTTACTAGTGTAGTGGGAAATTTACTTTAAAATGAAAAGTTTTTAAAATCTGCAATTACCGGTACATTAGCACATTGCAATTAAAGAGGGGATATATTCTATATATCTTCCAACTTTGTAAGATGGGAAAGAGGGACACATTATAGCACAAAGTATGCAGGCAAAGGGCATGCCCCAGCCAAGTCTCCAGTAATGTGGACCATGAGAAGTAATACACAAAAATATTTGGTTAGACCCAAAAATTGATTCTTTTTATCATTACATTGCCTTTATTTTGACTTTTCAAAATAACGGATGGAATCATTTAAATGAAATAAAACGTTTTTGATAGTTGAATAATACATTTTTGATAGTGATCTAAACATGCGGCCAAAAAAGGGACAACTGAGGAGAAAAGAGGGACATAGGGATTTGTTCCCAAAAGAGGGACAGTCCCTCTACATTAGAGACAGTTGGGATCTGTGGCCAGTCTGTTGGCCTTTTGATTAACCCCTACTGTAAAGTTATGATTTTCCGTTGGGTCTCCTAACCAATCTTCTTTTTGTTCTTCTTAGGTGTGGTGGAAGCATGCCTCCTACATCTTTTGAAGAGAAGAGCTGCGGGATTCTTACGGAGTGATAAAGTTGCAGCTTTGTTCATGAAGGTCGCAAAAACATGTGCCACCGCTGCAGATATATGCAAGAAGGTGCAAGATTTGCAACAACAGGTGGAGGGCAGGTGAGAAGAAAGCAAATGATTGATTATTTATATTTAGTTTTGGATGTTGTAGGGAAGGGTAAAACAGTAACCCATGCCAGATTATTTATTTATTTATTGCTGTCTCTGTTCTTTGGAAAAATGTAATTTCCTGTCCAAAAGATGTAAAAGACATTAGAGATTTCCCCTCACCTCTTGTTCAGGGGACAACTGTAAAATTTTGGATTTTTCTTCCATTTTTTTTCACGCTGATAATGGTCACCAGTACAAATAGAGGGCTAAACCCTCCCAATGGGGACACAGACAACAATAAAAACTTGGTATAGGGTCTAACCCAACCGAGCTTACTTGAATTGAGCGGTTCTTCTCCCCGCATGCAGGTGTGAAGTTTTGAATTGTCTGGATCTGTGAATGGAGAAACTGGAAGCCCTGGCAGCTAAAGCAGCAGTTGGACTTTCTGGCATACAAGTGTGGTGACGTTACCACACTTGTAGTCCATTCATTCTTCTTCCTGTCTATGTTATGGAATGTCCATACTGAGGTACAAACATGGAAGGGAGTGAGAATATGAAGGAACCAAGGCATTGCATTCGTGATAAACTGATCATAGCTGCAATGCTTTACTGGCTTCAATGCACAAAATAATCAATGCAAATTTTTTTCTTTTATGAAGAAGTGTGCATTTATTTATTTTTTTCTAAAATGTGGAATTTCCCTTCTGCTCATTTGACTCAGAATGATTGTGTCTGCTCATCTCACAAACGTTCTAACTTTTTAAAATCAGATGTCACTTTGTATCAGCAAATGTAATTTTTTTAATTTATCACTAAAACAATGTTAAAAGAGAACAAAAGCCAAACCTTTTTTTTGGCTTTCCTTCCCTCTGGGTCATACGAGTAGATTTACTAATGTATTCCTGTGACCCAAAGTCAGCATCTCGCAGGCTATTGCCGACTATACACTGAGTGGCCAGATTAATATGACCACCCCATCAGTACTTCGTTGGGCCACCTTTTGCCTTCAATACTGCGGCGATTCTTCTTGGCATTGACTCCACGAGATGTTGAAAGGTGATGCGAGGAATCTGACACCATGCCTGATGAATAGCACTGTCCAGTTCTGTGAGATTTGATGGTTGTGGAACCAGCTGCCTGATGGCTCTTTCAACTTCGTCCCACAAATGCTCAATTGGATTGAGATCTGGTGATTGTGGGGGCCAACTAAGCAAGGTAAAGTCTCCCTCATGTTCTTGAAACCACTCCTGCACAATACGAGCACCGTGGCATGGCGCATTGTCTGGGATACGCCATCAACATGATAGGATGAACTTGATCAGCAACGATACTTTGGTATGTTGTGCTATTCAGACGTTGTTCCCCACAAATTAAAGGGCCCAAATCATGCCAGGAAAACATGCCCCAAACCATAACACTGCCCCCACCAGCTTGAAGGGTTGTACTCATGCATGTGGGGTGCATGCTTTCATGCTGTTTCCGACAAATTCTCACTCTGCCATCTGCATGATGCAACTGGTGTTCGAACAGGCCTTTGGCTTCCATACCCCATATGATGCAGTGTAAGGCGAACAGTGCGTTCAGAGATCATTTGAGAGGATCCCTGATTAAGATCTGCAGTAATTTGATGCACTGTTGCCCTTCTGTTGTCTTGTACCAGTCTTGCCACTCTCCGTTCTGCCCTAACATTGACTAGTCGCTGATGGCCACAATTTGCACATTCAGACCCCGATTTTCGGCTGACAGTCCAGTCTTTAAACACTTTAACAACAGCTGCTCTTGAACATTTAACGAATTCTGCTGTTTTTCTGATACTCGCTCCATGGCTCCGAGCGCCAACAATCATCTCACGTTCAAAGGCTGATAAATCGTGTTGTTTACCCATATCTTCAGAAAAAAATCACTTACTGTTGTGGTAAACAACCTGCTTCCCTATTTATAATGGTCTGGCCCTCTAACAACTTCAGCGCAAAATTATAGCTAATTTGCCTACAAACGTCAGGTGGTGATAATAATCTGGCCACTCAGTGTATGCTGTAGTGCAGAGCCGCGCTGCAGCCAGGAAAGATCCCGACAATGTTGTGGGGATCCACCCCGCTACCTGATTGACAGCTGTCTTTGCATCTCTAGAGCCAGAGCCAACTGTGCCTGCCCCTCCCCTGTCTGTCCGCCCAGTGTGCGCTGGAGGAACAGAGAGAGGGGAAGGGGGAATCCCTGCAGGGTACAGTGACTGACAATCTCTGCTCTCTGCAGGGAGAAGACCCTGAGCTGAGCAATGAGCAGTTTGTGATTGCTGAGTTCTCAAGCGAGAGGGCCGGCATGTGACACTGCTCTAAATATTGGGAAGAGTATATTTTACTTTCCCAATACTTCTCCTTTAAAACAATACATCCTGAAGAATTGTGTTGTGTGTCCATGTATTTTCTGCGAAAGATGTACTGTTTCCTCCAAACTCAGTGATCTAGAACAGACTGTGTTAACTGGGAAATTCTATGTGTGCAGTGGAGGAGATATTAGATGAGACACTTAGCCCTTGTATTTTTGAATTGCTGTGCTTAGCGCAAAGTCGTGGCTAATGAGTCCCTACAAATGATATTTGGTTGTTCTGAAGTGTACCTGATATAGACCTTAGAGTCATGGATTGTTTTATAACACATCATTTAACCCTAGCTTTCACCGCTTACTGATGCTGCCCTGATCTACAGTAGCTTGACCTTTGTATGCTTCAGATTTTCCTCTCTCATTAGCAAGGACTTAATGGTCAGAAAGAATTCTGTTCTAAGAAAAATGGAAATAATAGTGAAATATACTAATAGCTCAGAAATATTTAAAGAACATAAGATGATATCAGTGTGGCCTGTTGGAGAAGTAATAATAATTGTTGAAATGGTAGCAAGTGAGTTATTTTTATTAACCTACCTAAGTGTTCACTTAATCCTGGTAGAAGTTAAGAAAATGCAGTACTAAAATGCTCCTTTCACTGATAAAGCCTAAGGCTTGAGTTGCAGGCCAGGAGGGCTGCAGGCAGAGCTGCTAATCGTCTATTTTTTGGAGGGACAGTCCCTGAGATATACCCATTCTTCTGCCATGCATAAGTATTCTTTTTTAGGTAGATCTGTATAAATAAAAGTACTATGGAACTACAAAAAGCATTCAAGTTGCTCCCAATTTTCACCTTATATATCACTTATTTGCAAACACTCGTATAAACCATAGTTTTGATGTTGCCCATGATTAAATTTGATTGTCATGGAAGGCAGAAGTGAGTTTCATTAAATTATTTTGTACATTAAATATTGAAGTCTATTTCTTTAATCTGAAATTATGTAATGTGGCAAGGACATGTATTTTTTGTGGGTTAAAAAGGTTTCCTTCTCTCCAGTACAGCCTTCTAGATATATAGATCAGTATTTCTCAAAGTGTAATTTATAAATATAAAAAAAAAAAAGTCATGTGGTTCCTACAAAATCCATACCTTTATGTAAGAGCCCCCTTTCATATCAGAATCCCCCTTGCACATCAGAAGCCCTTGTTACATCCTAAGTTATCAAACCCCTCTTCACATTAGAGTCCTCAGTTCCCCCCTACACATCTGAGTCCTCAGACTCATCTTCACATCAGAGTCCTCAGTCCCCTTTTGACATCAGAATCCTCAGTCCCCCTCTTCACATCAGAGTCCTCAGTCCCGCCTTTACATCAGACTCCTTGGTCCCCCCTTCACATTAGAGTCCACAGACCCCTATTCACATCAGGGTTTTCAGTTCCTCCTTCACATCTAAAGTCCTCAGTCCCCCATTCACATCTGAATTCTCAGACCCCTCTTCACATCAGAGTCCTCAATCCCCTCTTTACCATCACATCATTATCATGATTTTGGGTCAACTTTACTTTCTTTTTTTAAAGCTTTTGCATTTTTTATCTGATGTTTTATTTTACTATTTATGTTAAAAATAGTTTTAGAGATAACCATGTAATACAGCGTGCACCCACGGTACTCAGGATTTATCTATGGACACCCATAGATTTACAGAGCATTAGATACCTGTGGAAACAGTTTGGCTACCGTATAGTCTTTCTGGCACAGTATAACAAAAAAAGCAAGCTAAAAAGGGAGCTTAGGGACTGAACCCTACACCAGTCTTAGAAAAATGAGAGATACACTGCAGGGATGGGCCTGGAGGACCAGAGGACTGGCACAGGGTAGCCAAGCGCAGCTGCTGGCTGGCCAGTTGAGCACCACTAGTTTGGATCAGTTGCAACAATGCATATTTTAGAGGTATTGCTAGAAATCTCCAACCAGTTATCATATGGTATTTTTTGGCATTGTAGCATTTTAGTCTGTATGCCATGGACTAAACTTCAGCATATGTTTGACTCCAGCAGTAATCAATACACTCTAAGTGGCATGATTTATCCTCTGGTAGTCAGATACAAAACTTCCCTCTTCTGTATCCTGAAAGCCGACAGTAAAAAAAAAGTGTCACACAAACACAGGAATCACAGCCAGCTTAATGAAAGTGACTCATGAGGTGTGACTGCGCTTTCTAGTTTATTTCCCAGTAGTGCCACAGAAGGTGATGCTCACTTCAGGTTTCAGTATGATAGCTGCTAAATTGCACTTGATGTCTGGGCTCCCGTTGTTTACAGTTCTATTTAAAGGGCCTTTAAAGTTTAAAGGCATATCCATATCAAACTTGAACATTTTGTATGTAGACTCTCTGAGGACATAGAGCAACTTAGAAGCTGGATGGCAACATTAAACCCTTCTTTTAAAAGGTAAAGTGACCCTTTCACGAGAATAAAATAATTTGAATCAGAAGCACCCTGAAAAGAATATGTTGAATATTTCCCTGTCATAAAGGCCATTTGCCATTCAGCTCTTTAAAAATATGTCTACTGTGTAAATTAAATGTAAAAAATGTATCAAAACCAACTTCAAAAAGTGCACTTTCTGGCAGGTAATCTTCTCATTTTGTATATGAAGACTTGTATGTAAACCCCAAAATC